TAGCTGTTCTGTTTATTCATTTAACTGAAAATGCTGACTAAAAGCTGTTTCAGTTTGACCTAAGCTGATACCCTTCATTCCCCAACCCCAAGGCTTTGATTTGGCAGCTTCGAAAAAGTCATTACTTGCCTCGGCTCTGGCTTCAGTAAGTCATGAGGTTATGACAATCGGTTCATGAATGCAGCATTATGTATAGTCCCATTTACTTAAAATTTCTTCTTGTCATGAGCAAATGGACGTGGGCAGTTATTGTTAAGGGGTAAATATTTTTATTGGACACACTTCATCCAGCAGCTCAAGAGAGAGGAAATTTTAGAGCAGATAAGACTGCCAATTATTATTCAGTTATACTTCATCTCTAAAATTTACAAACTTTGCTCCCCACAACTAACAACTTCAACAACAACAACAAGAAACTGCTGTCCTGAATAATCCTGCCATTTCACAACTAGTCCTAGATACCCAGAGAGCACTGCAGGGGTCACACAGTCCAGTGTTGAGTTTCATACGTACTTAAGGGTACATCACTGGGCCACTGGAACATCACACCAGTGTTGAGTATCTGCACAAAGCCAAAAGTCTGCTGGGTGCTTTTAAACCCTTGTAAATAGAGAACTTAACAGTGAATAGTCTTCATAATTTGTGATATTTTATATTGAAGGCCATAGATAAAAGTCAAATATAAAAATTCCCAGCAACAAGAAATTTTGTCGTCTGTAATTTCTGAATCTCTACAAAGACACCATCAAGATACTATGTTTATCTTTACCCATTAAATAAAAGCTGCTTTTTTTTTTTTTTGTAGAGAAATGGGTCATTTTAAATTGTCTGGGTCTTTTCCACATTTGTATGGACAGAAAAATAAACAAGGTAATGGAGAAATTGAATTGTCCTGCGCTGTGACCACATGCAGCAGAAAAGCCTCCTTTTTTGAATGGCTGAACTTCCAGGACAGCTGTTCACTTGTACAGTCACTGACTCGAAAGCTATCCAAAAGAAGGAAACTCTAAGTATAAAGTGGAGAGTGCCTCTGATTGCCCTATGCTGGCTGGGCGGGAATTTCTCATGCTTTCAGCCAAAGCAAAGGATGAACTCCGCAGCAGCCCATCCTGACCCTAAACTCGTCTATGCATGCCCCAATTCTCTGCCATACTGGCTGCATGGGTACGGCCGTATCATCTCTGCTTGGTATTTTCTAACTACACAGCTAAAGTACTAATTTAACACATGCACGATGTTAGATACAGGAAACCCCAAGCTCTTGCAGAGTTATTATGCTTCCACATAGGACTTCACTGAGTTCAGCACTGAGGATGTGCACGGATCTAGCAGGAGTATAGGACGGATGCTGCTTCCCTGAGGGCAGGGTCCCTTCTCGGGCTCCCACAGAGGTGGAGCAAGGCTGCTGCTATCACCCTCAGGAGGTGCAGCCCTCACCCTCCGCGCGACCAGCATATTCTCGCTGTTGGCGCAGGCATATAGGTACCAGACTGCAGACACACCTTCCTGTCACTCCCTGCTGCAGTCACCACTCTCCCTTTGGGCACATGGAAGGACTTCAGTTGTGCCCTGCTGTCACGCAGCGTAGGGTTGCCCTACCCCTGGCGTGGACCCCAATGCAATTCCCCAATGCAAAAAATAAGACCGCCTCTCAGCTGACCGTCCCAGCATTGGAACAGACCCTGCAGAGCAGCAGAGCATTTCACCTGGGCTCTCCCCTTTGGCTCTGTTTGTCTTTGGCAACAGACCATAATGTTCAGTATCCTATGTGCACAGGTTGATGGCAAAGGAAAGAGCCTCTCCAACAGCAGCCCTGGGAAAGAGGAATGAACATTTCTTAGTATATGAACAAGCTCATTTGGGGGCTACTGTAAATTCTACCAGTAGCCGCAGTTTGGCTATTAGGCCTGCACCAATTCTAGCAGCATTCATCTCAAACCTTGTGGCACAGCGTTAAAGAACAGGATTGAAAGTGCAATTCCAAATACATGTTTCCTGGTGTGGTACCGCTTTTGAGTTCAATCAAGTACATCTCTGCTATCTGCTGCCCAAATTCGTAAACCCAGCGTGAACTCCAGAGGCTTCTTAGGGCAATGCAATGTACTTTCAACTGTACCAAAAGAGCAGAGGGCTTGGTGCTGCCAAGAAAGATCCCAGACTGTAAAGTAACAATTTATCAGAATAGTAATACACGTTCTATAAATAAACCAATTCCTCCCTCCTCTAAGCCAGGTGGAAGTTCAGTATCTTTACACTTGACACTACAGCACCTTCACCTCCTAGAGAATGGAAAAAGTGTCATACAATCCTGAACGTATGCAGTTACTGCTGCCATCCCAGTTAGGTAACAACTTCACCTAAATCTAGCATAAGATCTCTGTTGCCGTCAGAAGAGGAGGTCCCACCCTCCTCCTGCTCATTCTGCCTGCCCTTCTGGGGCCAGCACTGTGGTCGCACAATGAGCTGTACAGGATTCAACCCATTTGCAAGCCAGTACTAACACTAGCATCAGATGGCTATGTAACCAAAGCATTAGATTTTCCTTCTGCTAAGCAACACTGTCTACATCAGTAAGTCTGCACAGAGGATGGATGATGCCTGTCACCTAAACCTTTGGATCTGGGACAGAAAGGTTGAGCTCAGCAGTACTATCCCTATACACTGTGTCTCGCCTGGGGACCGTTCACTGCAGGGGCAGGGAACAGGATTCCAGCATATCTTCTTCCAGCTAGCATCACAAAACCCAGAAAGACACAGAAAAAAAAGAAAAGAAAGATAGGAAACACTGTCAACATTTGTGAACCAAAGTGAGGTGCAAAGACATGAACAGCAATTCCAGCACAATGGCCAAACCACTAAGAAGCAAGACTCACAAACATTTTGGTCCATGTTTAGTTCCAGTTTTGGATGATGTTTGACTAGACATGGTTAATTATCCACCGGGCTTGCATTCATGACTTGAACTAGCCACTATTTTCAATAAATGGCTTTTGCCTTACTATATGAAAACTCTCTTGATCCACTTGGGGCTAATTCAATTTTTCAGGGAAGAGGGAGAGATGATTTCTTGATCAAATTCTCTCTTCTGTATTTCTCTCTGTATTTTTCAGGGCAGGAACTGGATAGCATGGTATACCATGACAATTATAATGGGAAATTCCTGTTGGCACAGATACTACCTCAGGAATTCTCAGAGAAATCCATTTTTAGGAAAAACATCCAAACTTGGCAAGGGCTGCTTCCAAGAAGGAACGACGAAAGCTTGCCCGAGGTCTTAGCAGAAGCGGTCAGCCCCAGAGACAGTTGCTAGAACTGGCAGAACAACATGGATAGAAACAATTCTCCATTTGGGTGTGGTTTTGCAGTATTACATTATTCCTTCATCAGTCACACTATTACACTTTGCGGAATATTTCATGAAAGGTCACACATATGCTCTTCAGAAATTAAACACAAATTAATAATTCTGGGGTGGGAGTCAAGTTTCCTAACTTTAGCCACCTAAAAATTTAGGAGCCGAGATTCTCTGCAAAGGAGGAGGACAGGAATTTCCAATGGGCACCTCCTTCTATGTTAATCTTAGGATGAACTGAGTCAGCCTTTGGAGAGCTCTCTCCGTATTGACAACTGTGTCCCTGGCACAGCTGACCAGGACAAGATACCTGACTTTCAGCTGGCTAAAGTCAGATGAGATGAACCACACTATCGATGCCCTCCTGTTCAAAAACATGAAGCTCTAAAACCGGGCATAGGACAGGCAGGAGCATACAGCAATCAGACAGAGTCATTTGTAGGAGAAGCCTCTACAGAAGCCCTTAGTGCTCCTAAAAATAGCAAAACTGTAAGTGTTTTTTAAAAAATTTAAACTATTCTGACAGTTCTCTTTCTAAGCTAAAATGGAAACACTAGTCTGATGGCCTTGAGAAAGAGGGTCATATTTTCTCTTTTAATTTACTGCTCATCCAAATGTTCTCTTCTTTCCCCTAGTCAAAATTAACAAAAAACCCTGAAAAGGTTTTTCTCAAGTTTAATATAATTTAGTGCTATATGCTTGTGTTCTACTTTTTTCCTATCTGAGGACCTAGCGCTGTAAACACATGAGCACTGGAGCAGCTTTATGCAGAAAAGCAGTATCCCTGTTCACTGGGATAATTCATGTGCTTTTCATTATATTCTTTCGAGAATATATTCTCAAAAGAATATATTATTTCAAGACTGCAATCTAAAATATTAAGAAGAAGAACAGGACAAACATACCAAAAGAGTTTGTCCACCCCTGCACTGATGACAGAGAACAATTACTACAGTACCAGTAGCTGGCCACTTTAAGGAGGTGAAGCGGTGGGGGACTTACTTAATTTGTTCCCCTGGAAATGGATGGGAAATTTTCTCATCCCTTTTGTTTTTCACTCACACTCACCGCTCAGCGGAGGTGAAAGCTTCTGGGTTGAGCTATATGAAATTAATTGTTGGTGAGCATCTCTCAAGTGTGAGTTCACAAAGGTTTAAAAGAACACCACCCACGCGTACGATGCATGATGAATTCACTCAGAAGTCAGCCCTGGACATAGGAAATTGTGCATAAACCTTCATAAGACTAGCCTGCATTCAGCTGTATAATAAAACCCACTATCACTACTGTGTCATGCCACTTGTCATCCATGAAGATTTTGCACAACCCATTTCAATCAGCAAATCTGTGCAGTCAACACTGAAGCTTACCGGGAGCTCACAGAAGGCCCTCCCTTCCCCAGTACCAGGGCATATGCACTGTGGGTGAGGACTGTTTTGTTTTAAAAGCCACACATTTTCCTAATTAATTGTGCTTTAAATAAAACAAAACAAAAAAACAACTAGCTAAACCAACACAGAGAAGCTCCTAACAAGCTATATGAAAAGTGAGCTGCCGAGATTTTCCATATCACGCGACACTTTCACACCAAGTCCTATTATTCTGTGTGTTGGTTAGAGGTGTAGTACTACAGCACGGTGGTATCAGCTGTCATGGTAGGAACCATTCATGTCAGACACTACAGAAAATTTAATGACATGACAGTACCTTCACAGCCCTCTGGTAGGTAAGGAAAATCTAAAAGGATCTTCCCAACCTTTCACAGTAAACACAATTGGATAATCTAAAGCACCTGCAAGCAGGAGATGAGTCCATGATATATCTTTCCAATCAGCCAGCTAATACTGTTATTAGAACAGTTAAGTTATGTCAGCTCTTAAGTCTCCTGTCTGTTTTGGGCATTTCTAAGGACCTTATCACTTTGGCATTTAGCCACCAACAGATTTAATTGATCCAAACACTGTATTTCCTTCTCCCATATCCTCAGCTGTTTCTAAGATGCCCAAGCCCTTCACAGGGGCTGAATTACCATTTCGTTCGAGAGCTGTCTGGTTCCTATTCTTTCTTAGGAGCTGAGAGGAGCTAGCAGTACAGAGACATCCTGCTCTTCCGCATGGCTTCGCTGATTAAGTATGCCGGGCTCAGTTCTGGCTCCTCAGTCATGATTGAAATGTTCTGCCACTCCCCCAACTGGTTTGACTTTTTAATGGTGTCCACCACACACAGGGCATACAGACAGTCGTCAAAAGTGGCAGCCATTGTGAGGGGCCTCCCATCCCAGGTCCTCCTGTCGTCCTGGTCCTCAAATGCCTGCCGGACAGCTTGAACCATCTTAATGGTGCCTCGGAGGTAGGGCGATGGGATGTCACTGAAGGCCTTCTCTGGAAGTAAGGAGTTGCTGACCGGCGTAGAGTCCTTTAGCAGGAGCTCCCGCTGAGGAGAGCTATTGCTCTGTCCGTAGAGAT